AAAAACTTTAAATAGTGTATAGAGATGAATTTTGGGGACCAAAAAAATAACTAGAGGTTTTCCTGTTTCCCGGGGGGTTTTCAGGAGTGTTAGAGATCTCACTAGTTTAGGGGGGTAGGGGGGTTTTAACCCGCAAAAGCCGAGGGGGAATATAACAGGTGTGTTACGAGTTACAATTATACCTTATGCTCTTGATATCCCTATATGTGGTTAATGAATTAATATCTTTCCACCATGAATACTATTTACGGTTACAAGAAAAATGCTCACCCTTGTCTGTTGTTACCGTGTGCACTGTGAAATGCCAGGTGAAAGGAAGACAAAAAAAAGAAACCCCCTACCCGCTGGAGAGAACGCCCGGCTTGCTGGGTAACGAGGAGTATGTACACCACCATTAACTTATGCAAGCGTCGATGAAAGAGTGAGGAATAAATAAACTTAATGGCCCTGAAGTAGGAACCAAATGCCAGGAATAGTTCACTAAGTGAAACCCCCACGATTTCTGTCCCTGACCATCAATAAGAGTTATCATAGAGTTATCATTCGTTGGTCGGTTCTTATTGAGTTTGGATGTTGTCATCTATTATAAATGTTGAGACATGGTCTGATAACACTCATTAATATTGTGTGGAGTGCTTAAAGTCTCGTTAGGCCTCAATCTTCGAATGTTGTAAAATTTACCACAAATAAGTTAATGTCTGCCTTAGTGATTTTGGTGAGATATCGATGCTTAAGTTCTCTGCATGGTTATTAAACATAAATGTACTTGAAAACCATTGATATGGTTACTATAAATTAATGGTGTAAATACATACATGTACAGCGATTGCGATTGTACATGTCAGAGGGTAGTTTAAAGTTAGAATCCTAGCTTTGGGAGCTAGGGGTAGGGGTTAAAGTCCCCTTTCTCTGAGCAGTAGGGAGGATTTTAACCTCCGACGTTCGGCTTACAAGACCGACGCTCTGGCGCTGAGCTACTAGTGCACGCTTGTTCTAGTATTTTGTTCTCTACTCAACCTGTTACAGGGATGAGGGCAAGGAATAGGAAGAAATACAAGAATGAGGCGACTTGTCCCACAATAATGAAGGGGTGTTCAACGGGCATGCCTCCGATTCATGTAAGGATGATAACGTCTGCGACGAGGAGTCAAAATAGGAATTGTGTGATTGGTCGGAATGTAAAGCTTCGTTGTTTGGAGGTGTGAAGGATTGGAACCACCATCAGAACGAGGATGGAGAGTAGGAGCGCCAGGACCCCTCCTAGTTTATTGGGAATCGATCGGAGGATGGCGTAGGCAAAGAGGAAGTATCATTCGGGTTTGATATGGGGAGGGGTCACTAAGGGGTTGGCGGGGATGAAGTTGTCGGGGTCGCCGAGGAGGTTGGGGGAGAATAATGCTAAGGAGGTAAGTGCAACCAGTAGTGTTGCAAAGCCTAGCAGGTCTTTGTACGAGAAGTAGGGGTGGAATGAAATTTTGTCGGTATCGGAGTTCAACCCTGTGGGGTTGTTTGAGCCGGTTTCGTGGAGGAAGAGGACATGGAGGATAAAGAATGCCGCAATGACGAAGGGGAGGAGGAAGTGGAATGCGAAGAATCGGGTTAGGGTCGCGTTGTCTACGGAGAAGCCGCCCCAGATTCATTGGACGAGTGTATTTCCAACGTAGGGTACTGCGGACAGAAGGTTAGTAATGACTGTAGCTCCTCAGAATGACATTTGTCCTCAGGGGAGGACATAGCCTACAAAGGCAGTGCCCATTAGTAACAGAAGAAGGACTACGCCTGTATTTCAAGTTTCTTTATAGAGGTAAGATCCATAGTAAAGTCCTCGGCCAATGTGAAGGTAGATGCAGATAAAGAAGAAGGATGCACCGTTGGCATGCATGTTTCGGATGAGTCATCCGTAGTTTACGTCTCGGCAGATGTGGGCAACGGAAGTGAAGGCTGTTGCGATGTCTGAGGTGTAGTGTATTGCCAGGAACAGTCCTGTAAGGATTTGGGTGGCCAAGCAAAGTGCAAGGAGGGAGCCGAAGTTTCATCATGCTGAGATATTGGAGGGGGCTGGGAGGTCAATAAGAGAGTCGTTTACAATTTTTAAGAGTGGGTGGGTTTTCCGTAGGGTGGCCATTAATGATTCTTGTAGTTGAATGACAACGGTGGTTTTTCAAGCCATTAGTCTGGGTTCAAATCCCGGCAGGAATAAATGACTTTCATCATATATTTAGTTTTATTTTCTTTCGTTCTTGGGTTGGTAGCGGTCGCTTCTAATCCATCCCCGTATTTTGCTGCTCTAGGGTTAGTCGTGGTGGCGGGGATGGGGTGTGGTGTATTGGTGGGGCATGGGGGTCCTTTCTTGTCGTTAGTATTGTTTTTAATTTACTTAGGTGGGATGTTGGTTGTGTTTGCATATTCGGCAGCACTTGCTGCCGAGCCATACCCTGAAACTTGAGGGAGCCGGCCTGTTGTCACTTATATGGTCGTATACTTGGCTGGGGTAGTATTAGTGTCTGCGTTGTTTTGAGGGGGGTGATATGAGTCTTCTTGGGGGTCGGCAGATGAGTTAGGGGAGTTTTCGATGTTTCGAGGGGACATGGCAGGGGTTGCTCTAATATACTCTGCAGGGGGATGAATGCTGGTTATTAGTGCGTGGGTTCTTCTTTTGACGTTGTTCGTAGTGTTGGAGTTAACTCGTGGGCTCAGTCGTGGTGCACTTCGGGCTGTTTAGTGAACAACTAATAGGACTATTAGCACGAGGGTAAGTAGGAAGAGAGAGAGGTAGGTTTTGATTATACCCCGTTGGACGTTGCTGGCTGTTGAGACCAGGGGAAGGTTGGCAGTGGTAATGGCCTTAGGGCCCACTTTCTCTAGTCAGGTTTGGTCAACCATTTGGCTGGCAATTGCTTGTCCTAGGAGAAGGTTTAGTTTCGGGGTAAAGCGGTGGATGATTGACGGGAAGAAGCCTAGCATATTTGAGAAATGGTGGGCGGTGAGTGTTGGGGTAGGTTTAAATTGTTTGTTCGTTAGGGATGCTAGTTCAAGGGCAGTTAGTGCGCCAATAATTGTAACTGTTAGGGCGGCTAATTTTAGGAGGGGTGGCATGGTTATAATTGGGGTTTTTAAAGGAAGTAGGTTGGAAGTAATTAGGAGGCCGGCAATGATGCTGCCTCATGCTAGTCGCTTGATGGGGTTAATTACTGCGGGGTTGTTCTCGTTAATAGGGGAAAGTGAGTTAAATCGAGGGTGGCCTATCACTACGAAAAAGACAACCCGCATGCTGTAGATAGCTGTGAAAGAGGTTGCTAGGAGGGTTAGGGCTAGGGCTCAGGCGTTTAGATAAGAGGTGTTGAGGGCTTCAATGATAGCATCTTTGGAGAAAAATCCTGCTAGGAAGGGGGTTCCGGTGAGGGCTAGGCTCCCGATAGTAAGGCAGGAGGAGGTGAAGGGGGCCAGGTGGTGCATGCCTCCTATTTTTCGGATGTCTTGCTCGTCGTTTAAACTGTGGATGATTGAGCCAGAACATAAGAACAGCATGGCCTTAAAGAAGGCGTGGGTACAAATGTGAAGGAAAGCCAGTTGTGGTTGGTTGAGGCCAATAGTTACCATTATTAAGCCTAGTTGACTCATGTTAGAGAATGCAACAATTTTTTTGATGTCATTTTGGGTAAGAGCGCAGGTGGCTGTAAATAAGGTCGTAAGGGCACCCAGGCATAGGCAGGTGGTTAAGGCAGTAGGGTTATTTTCTATAAGGGGGCTCATTCGGACTAAGAGGAAGATACCTGCGACGACTATTGTGCTGGAGTGCAGTAGGGCAGAGACCGGTGTAGGACCCTCCATTGCAGAGGGAAGTCACGGGTGAAGGCCAAATTGAGCCGACTTTCCTGTTGCGGCGATGATTAGTCCGAGGAGGGGGAAGGTTAGGTCAAAGTCTTTGGCAGCTGCGAATACTTGTTGCATTTCTCAGGAGTTTAGGTTTGTTGCTATTCATGCCATAGCAAAGATTAGCCCGATGTCTCCAACTCGGTTGTAAAGGACGGCTTGTAGGGCTGCGGTGTTAGCGTCTGCTCGGCCGTACCATCAGCCGATAAGGAGGAATGATATAATCCCAACTCCTTCTCAACCAATAAAGAGTTGGAATATGTTGTTAGCTGTAACTAGAATAATCATGGCGATAAGGAATGTTAGGAGGTATTTAAAGAAGCGGTTCATGTATGGATCCGCGTGCATGTATCAGGATGCAAACTCTAGGATGGACCATGTGACATAAAGGGCGATGGGGGTGAAGACAATTGAATAATGGTCGAATTTAAGGCTGATATTAACGTCGAATGTGAGGGTGTTTATTCAGTTTCAGCTTGTGACGATGGTCTCTAGTCCTTCGTTTAGGTACAAGAAAAGGGGGAGTAGGCTAACAAAAAATGCTAGTTTCACTGCTGTTTTAACTTGGGAAACAGATCAGTCGAGGGTTCGGGGGCTGGGCGAAAGTGTTGTTAGTAGGGGGTAGGCTAGGAGTGTGAAGATAAGGATCAGGCTCGAAGTTATTATAAGGGAAGTAGGGTGCATAGCTGCTACTTGGATTTGCACCAAGAGTCTTTGGTTCCTAAGACCAACGGATGAGCTGTTATCCTTTAGGAGCAGGTCGAGTGAGCCCTGGGGTCCAACCAAGGACAGGAAAATTAGCAGTTTTCGTTGCTGCGAGCCTCTCTCGGTGGACAAGGGGAGTTTAACCCCTATTTTTAGAATCACAATCTAATGTTTTTGTTAAACTATGTCTACAAGCAGTCCAGCCCCAGATTAGCTCTGGCTTAAGGGTGAGTAGCATCAACGGAAGGAGGTGGAGGAGAATAAGTAGGTGTTCTCGAGAGTGGGTTGGCTCAAGGGCAATGAGATGTGGGGGGAGGGGGCCTCGTTGTGTTATTAGGAACATGTATAATGAGTAAGCTGCTGTGATTAGGGTGCCTGCTCCTGTGAGTGCTAAAGTTCATCATGATCAGCTAAATAGGGAGGTAATAATTATTAGTTCTCCTATCAGGTTTGGTAGGGGTGGGAGGGCCAAGTTGGCGAGGCTGGCAATAAATCATCAGGTTGCTATTAACGGGAGGACTATTTGTAGGCCCCGTGCTAGGATTATTGTCCGGCTGTGTGTTCGCTCATAGTTGGTGTTTGCCAGGCAGAAAAGGGCTGAGGATGTCAAGCCGTGGGCAATCATAAGGATGAGTGCTCCGGTAAAGCCTCATGGTGTTTGGATTAGAATTCCTCCTGCGACTAGGCCCATGTGGCTAACTGATGAGTAAGCAATCAGGGATTTTAAGTCTGTCTGACGTAAACAAATTGAGCCCGTTATAATAACGCCTCAGAGTGCGAAGATAATGAAGGGGTAGCTAAGTTTTTCAGTTAGGGGCTCCAGCATAATTATTATTCGCATCATCCCATATCCCCCTAGCTTAAGGAGGACAGCAGCGAGGACTATTGATCCTGCAATGGGGGCTTCTACGTGTGCTTTAGGGAGCCAAAGGTGTACGCCGTAGAGGGGCATTTTCACTAGGAAGGCCAGAAGGCACCCTGCTCACCAGAGTTTATCTGCGTAGCTCACTAGGGGTAGGGGGTTTGAGTACTGCAGGGTTAGAAGCGATAGAGTGCCGGTGTTGTTTTGGAGGAGGAGGAGAGCGACAAGCAAGGGGAGGGAGCCTGCTAGGGTATAAAACAGGAAATAAGTGCCGGCGTTAAGTCGTTCTGTTTGGTTACCTCAGCGGGTGATAATGATTAGTGTTGGGATTAGGGTGGCTTCAAACATAACATAGAACATAATCAGTTCTGTTGCGCCAAAAGCTAGGATGAGGAAGAATTGGAGGGAGGTCAGGAGTGTAATGTACATTCGTTGTCGGTTTACTGGTTCAAGGGCTGTGTGTTTCTGGCTTGCGAGGATTATAAGGGGGAGAAGTCAGCAGGTAAGGACCAGGAGGGGGGTTGAGAGTGCATCTGTAGCCAGGTAAGTGCTGAGACAAGATCAGCCTGTTTCGGAGAGGTTCTTTAGTCAAGTAAGGCTGGCTAAGGCAATAATAAAACTTTGGGCCAGGGTGGTAGGTCAAAGTCACTTTGCAGGCGTTAGCCATGTTGTGGGAATTAATATAAAGGTGGGGATGAGAATTTTTAGCATTGCAGAAGGTTGAGGCTTTGGAGTCGGTCAGTCCCATGTGTTCGGGCAGTTGCAACAAGTAAGGCAAGTCCTGCACTTGCTTCGCAGGCTGAGAAGGCGAGGAGGAGTATAGGGGAGGAGGAGAAGGTGGTGGAGTCCAATTGGAGGGTCCAGAGAGAGAGGGCAATAAAGAGGGAAAGTATCATACCTTCTAGACATAGTAAAGCAGAAAGAAGGTGATAGCGGTGAAATGCTAGGCCTGCAAGCCCTAGTATAAAGGTGGACGAAAAGGCGAAGTGGACAGGGGTCATCAGGCAATTATGGACTTTAACCACAAGTTTTTGAGCCGAAATCAAATGTTTTTCTTAGACTAAAAGCCTATTCGGCTCATTCTAGGCCCCCTTGTATTCATTCGTAAACTAAGCCGAGGGTTAGTAAGGCTAAGACGGCGGAAGCTCAGACGAAGGTTGTTAAGGGGGTATCTAGTTGGTCCCCTCAGGGGAGGGGAAGGAGTAGTGCGATTTCTAGGTCAAATAGGAGAAATAGGATGGCAACTAGGAAGAATCGAAGGGAGAAAGGCAGGCGAGCCGACCCGAGGGGGTCGAACCCGCATTCGTATGGGGAGAGCTTCTCGTGGTCGGGGTTTATTTGCGGTAATCAAAAGGAGACGATGGCTAGGAGTGTGGAGAGAATGAGGGTGATAGCAATAATGGTCGTAATAAGGTTCATTATCTTTCCTTGGATTTGAACCAAGACTAGGTGATTGGAAGTCACGTATACTCCGTTAATATTAGAAAGATTATGACCCTCATCAGTAGATGGAGATGTATAGGAAGAGTCACACAACGTCTACAAAGTGTCAATACCAGGCGGCTGCTTCAAATCCAAAGTGGTGGTCTGATGTAAAGTGATGACGGATTTGGCGAAGAAGGCAAATGGCTAGGAATGTTGAGCCGATAAGGACATGGAGGCCGTGGAATCCAGTAGCTACAAAGAATGTGGCACCATAGACTCCGTCTGCGATTGTAAATGGGGCTTCGTTATACTCTAGGGCTTGAAGGAAGGTGAAGTAAGCCCCCAGTAAGATTGTTAAAGCTAGAGATTGGATTGCTTGCTTTCGTTTAGTCTCTATGATACTGTGGTGAGCTCAGGTGACTGTGACCCCTGAGGCAAGAAGGACGGCCGTATTCAGAAGGGGGACTTCGAATGGGTCTAAAGCAGTGATTCCTGCTGGGGGCCAGTAGCCCCCTAGCTCAGGGGTGGGAGCCAGGCTGGAGTGATAGAAGGCTCAGAAAAATCCAAGGAAGAAAAGGACTTCCGATGTAATGAAAAGGATTATTCCGTATCGAAGGCCTTTTTGAACTGGAGGTGTATGGTGACCTTGGAATGTGCCTTCTCGTACGACGTCTCGTCATCACTGGCATACTGTAAGAGTCAGGAGAATGGTGCCAAGGGTTATAAGAAGCACGGAGTGGAAGTGGAATCAAATTGCTAGGCCTGATGTTATTAGCAGGGCGGCGATGGCACCTGTAAGGGGTCATGGGCTTGGGTCGACTATGTGATAAGGATGTGCTTGATGGGCCATTAAACGTTTTCTTGTAAGTAGAGGCTTAATAGGAGAACGAAGACGTAGGCTTGAATTATTGCTACGGCAACCTCCAGGAGGGTAAGCAGGAAGAGGACAACGGCTGTTAGGACCGCCACAGTGGGTATTAGGGGAAGAAGAACGAATGCCGCTGTGGCAATCAGTTGGATGAGGAGATGTCCTGCTGTTAAATTAGCTGTTAGTCGGACTCCGAGGGCTAGAGGCCGGATGAATAGGCTAATTGTCTCGATGATAATTAGGACGGGGATTAGTAGTGGTGGTGTTCCTTCAGGGAGGAGATGACCTAGGGCGTGGGTTGGCTGGTTACGCATTCCGATAATTACTGTTGCCAGTCAGAGGGGGACGGCTAGGCCCATATTGAGGGATAGTTGCGTAGTAGGGGTAAAAGTGTAGGGGAGGAGGCCTAGCATGTTAAGGGAAATTAAGAAGACCATTAAGGAGGCTAACAGGGCGGCTCATTTATGGCCTCCTGGGTTTAAAGGCAGAAGAAGTTGCTGTGTAAACCGATTAATAAACCATCCCTGGAGGGTTAGTACGCGGTTGTTTAATCATCGGGCTGAAGGGGTCGGGAATAGAACTCAAGGGAGCGTTAAGGCTAATGCCATGAGGGGGATCCCTAAGTAAACTGGGGATATAAATTGATCAAAGAAGCTTATTGCCATGGTCAAGTTCAGGGCGTTGCTTTAGGCTTTTCTGTGCTTTGGGGTGTGGGTTCGTTTGGGAAATTATGGGCCGTTACTTTAGGGGGAATTACGATAAGGAACACCAGTCAGGAGAAAGTCAGGATTGCAAATCAAGGGGCGGGGTTGAGTTGAGGCATGTCGCTAAGGGTGGTTGGTAGTCACCAATTTTTAGCTTAAAAGGCTAACGCTGTGTACCTAATTAGCTTCTTAGCGAAGCGTCTTCAACTATTAGTGATGTTCAGTTTTCAAAGTGTTCCAGAGGGACGGCTTCAATTACAATAGGCATAAAGCTGTGGTTGGCTCCACAAATTTCAGAGCACTGTCCGTAGAAGACTCCGGGTCGGTTGACAATAAAGGTAGTTTGGTTTAGTCGACCTGGTACTGCGTCAACTTTGATACCAAGGGCTGGGACAGCTCAGGAATGAAGCACGTCTTCAGCAGAAATGAGCACTCGGATGGGTGAGTCAACGGGGATTACTATTCGATGGTCTGCTTCTAAAAGGCGGAATTGGCCAGGCGTAAGGTCTTGTGTGGGGATTATGTATGAGTCAAACCCTAGGTCTTCGTAGTCTGTGTATTCATAGCTTCAATATCATTGATGGCCCATAGCTTTAATTGTGAGGTGGGGGTCATTAATCTCATCTATAAGGTAGAGAATACGTAAGGAGGGGAGGGCGATTAGGATAAGGATAATTGCTGGGAGAACTGTCCAGATAATTTCAATTTCCTGGGAGTCAAGGATGAGTTTGTCCGTAAATTTAGCGGTTACTATCGCCACAATAATGTAAAGTACTAGTGTGCTAATTAAGAAGACAATTATTAAAGCATGATCGTGGAAATGTAGAAGTTCTTCTATCAAAGGTGAAGCTGCGTCTTGAAATCCTAGTTGGGAGGGATGTGCCATTATGGTTTCAAGACGCGCGAGAGTTTAACTCGCAATTTTGCCTTGACAAGGCATCGTAATGGCATTTTACTAGCGTCTTAGTAAAGAAAGTGGCAGAGCGGTTATGTGGTTGGCTTGAAACCAACTGATGGGGGTTCAACTCCTCCCTTTCTCGTTAGTTTAATCGGACTTGAACAAAAGCCGGCTCTTCGAATGTGTGGTAAGGCGGCGGGCAGCCGTGGAGTCATTCGACGTTTGTTGCGGTTAATTCTACCGAAAGAACTTCACGTTTTGCGGTAAATGCTTCTCAGATAATGAAAAGGAACATGATTACTGCTACGAGGGAGACTAGAGAGCCAATTGAGGAGACTGTGTTTCAGAGGGCGTAGGCGTCAGGGTAGTCCGAGTACCGTCGAGGTATTCCGGCCAGGCCTAGGAAGTGCTGGGGGAAGAAAGTAAGGTTTACACCTGCGAACATAACCCCGAAGTGGATTTTTGTTCATGTGTCGTGGAGGGTGTAGCCTGTAAATAGAGGGAATCAGTGAACGAAGCCGGCAACAATGGCGAACACGGCTCCTATAGATAGGACGTAGTGGAAATGGGCTACTACGTAGTAGGTATCGTGAAGGACGATATCTAAAGAGGAGTTGGCTAGGACGATTCCTGTTAGTCCTCCGACTGTAAATAGGAAAATGAAACCGAGGGCTCAAAGGAGAGGGGTCTCTCATTTGATGCTGCCACCGTGGAGAGTTGCAAGTCAGCTGAAGACTTTAACGCCGGTGGGAATGGCGATAATCATGGTTGCGGATGTGAAGTATGCACGCGTGTCAACGTCTATCCCGACTGTGAACATGTGGTGGGCTCATACAATAAAGCCTAGTAGTCCGATGGCAACTATAGCTCATACTATGCCCATGTAGCCGAAAGGTTCTTTTTTACCAGAGTAGTAGGCAACGATGTGAGAAATTATTCCGAACCCGGGGAGAATTAAAATGTAAACTTCAGGGTGGCCAAAGAATCAAAACAGGTGTTGGTAAAGGATGGGATCCCCTCCTCCAGCTGGGTCAAAGAAGGCAGTGTTTAAGTTTCGGTCTGTAAGAAGCATTGTAATACCGGCGGCTAGGACTGGAAGTGATAGGAGTAGGAGTACAGCCGTGATAAGGACAGCTCAGACAAACAGGGGAATTTGGTACATGGAAACGGCGTGGGGTTTCATATTGACGATGGTTGTGATGAAGTTAATAGCTCCTAGAATTGAGGAGATCCCAGCTAAGTGAAGGGAGAAAATTGTTAAGTCTACGGATGCTCCTGCGTGGGCGAGGTTGCCGGCCAGAGGCGGGTAAACTGTCCAACCTGTCCCGGCTCCGGCTTCAACACCCGAAGAGGCTAGGAGTAGAAGGAATGAAGGAGGGAGGAGTCAGAAGCTCATATTATTCATTCGAGGGAATGCTATATCGGGAGCTCCGATCATTAAAGGGATGAGTCAGTTCCCAAATCCTCCAATCATAATTGGCATTACTATAAAGAAAATTATTACAAACGCGTGTGCTGTAACGATTACGTTGTAAATTTGATCGTCTCCCAGGAGAGCCCCGGGTTGGCTTAGTTCTGCTCGGATGAGTAAACTTAAGGCTGTACCGACCATGCCGGCTCAGGCACCAAATACTAGATAAAGGGTGCCAATGTCTTTGTGATTAGTCGAGAAAAATCAGCGTGTGATTGCCACAGGTAGGATGGCTGAGTTTTAAGCGGTGGATTGTAGCCCCATAGACAGAGGTTTGATTCCTCTTCTTACCAAGTCCCGAGGTGTTTTCATGCCGGATTGCAAACCCGGAGGAGCAGGTTAGACGCCTGCCGGGACTTTCCCGCCTGTTTGGCGTTAGGCCAGGCGGGAAAGTAGATGGATGCTCGCTGGTTTGAGCGTTTAGCTGTTAACTAAAACTTGGTAGGATCGAGGCCTACCCATCTAGAGAGGCCTTAGCTTAATAAAAGTACCTGTGTTGCATACAGGAGATGTGGGTTAGTTTCCCGCAGGTCTTATCAGGGACTGGGAGATTTTCACTCCCGCTTAGGGCTTTGAAGGCTCTTGGTCTTGTGCTATCCTAAGTCCCTTAGGGGGCAAAGAGGGCTATTGCGGCGGGGGCAAGGGGAAGGGTAAGAATGGCTGTCGCAGTCGAAACTGCTAAGGGCAGAGTAAGTTGAGGGGAGTGGAAGCGTCAGGGGGCTGAACCAGCGAGGTTATTAGGGAACATGGTCAAGGTTATTGCGTATGAAAGTCGGAGGTAAAAGTAGAGGCTAAGGAGGGCTGTGAGAGCAGCGAAGGTGGCTAAGAGGGGAAGGCCTTGCTTGGTTAGTTCTTGGAGGATAAGCCATTTTGGCAGAAATCCTGTGAGGGGTGGGAGGCCGCCTAAAGATAGTAGAATAAGAGGGGCGAGGGAGGTGAGGATCGGGGTTTTGGCTCAGGAAATAGCCAGTGAATTGACCGTTGTGGCTTTGTTTAGTTTGAATACAAGGAAGGCCGAGAATGTTATAACAAAATATGTAAGTAGGGTGAGTAGGGTAAGGGAGGGGGCAAACTGAAGTACCAATGTTATTCACCCTAGGTGGGCGATCGAGGAGTATGCTAGGATTTTGCGGAGTTGTGTTTGGTTTAGGCCCCCTCAGCCTCCAACAAGTGTTGAAGCAAGACCTAAAGTAATGAGGATCGTCGAGTTATTAGGGTGGATTTGAAGGAACAGGGCAAACGGTGCAAGTTTCTGTCAAGTGGATAAGATTAGGCCAGTGGTCAGATCTAATCCTTGGAGAACCTCCGGCATTCATGAGTGTATAGGTGCTAGTCCAATTTTAAGGGCTAATGCTAGCGTAATCATTGTGGTGGGGAGGGGGTGCGATATTTGTTGAATGTCCCATTCTCCTGTTAGTCAGGCATTAGTAGTGCTGGCGAAGAGTAGTATTGCGGCTGCCGTTGCTTGGGTTAGGAAGTACTTAGTGGTTGCTTCGACTGCCCGGGGGTGGTGGTGCTGGGCTATGAGCGGAATAATAGCTAGCGTGTTGATTTCAAGACCTATTCAGGCGAGGAGCCAGTGTGAGCTCGCGAATGTAATCGTAGTTCCTAGGCCAAGGCCAAATAGTAGGAGGGCCATAATGTACGGGTTCATTAACAGGGGAAGGACTCTAACCTACATGTTTGGGGCATGGGCCCAAGAGCTTACTTGGCTGACACTGTTAGGAAGTGGTGTAGAGGAAGCACTAAGAGTTTTGATCTCTTCAGGTGGGGTTCAAGTCCCCTCTTTCTAAGGAGTTGGGGGGATTTTAACCCCCATGGTTCACTCTATCAAAGTGGCCCTTTAATTCAGGCACAGCTCCAGTGTTACAGCTGAGGGGGCAGCCCAGCGAATGCGATGGGCAGTGCGAGGTGTCAGATGACGAGGGCTAACGTCAGGGGTAAAAAGTTTTTTCAGATGAGGTGCATGAGCTGGTCATATCGGAAGCGGGGGTAGGAAGCTCGGACTCAAAGGAATAGAATGGAGAGGAGGGCCGCTTTTGTTATAAGGTTAATGGCTGTTAATTCTGGGAATGTTGGTATGTGGGAGGCTCCAAGGAAAAGTGTTGCAGAGAGGGTATTTATGAGTAGAATATTGGCGTACTCGGCTAGGAAGAACAGTGCGAAGGGGCCTCCTGCGTACTCTACGTTGAACCCTGAGACTAGCTCAGATTCTCCTTCGGTCAAGTCGAAAGGGGCTCGATTTGTTTCTGCTAGCGTTGAGATGTATCATATAGCGGCTAGGGGTCAGGCGGGTAGGACTAATCAAATACTTTCTTGGGCAGTGTTAAAGGTCTGAAGGGTGAAACCCCCAGTGAAGATGATAATATTAAGGAGAATGAGGCCCAGGCTGACTTCATATGAAATAGTTTGGGCAACGGCTCGGAGGGCTCCGACCAGGGCGTATTTTGAATTTGATGCTCAGCCCGAGCCTAAAATTGAGTAGACTGCAAGGCTGGAAAGCGCTAGGATAAAGAGAATTCCTAGGTTTAGATCAGTAACAGGGTAAGGAAGGGGTATAGGGGCTCAAAGGGTCAAGGCCAGGGTAAGTGCCAGTATGGGGGCTAATAAGAAGAGAACAGGTGAGGAAGTGGAGGGGCGTACCGGCTCTTTAATGAATAGCTTTACTCCGTCGGCGATGGGTTGAAGGAGCCCGTAGGGCCCCACGATGTTAGGACCTTTTCGTAGTTGCATGTAACCAAGCACTTTCCGTTCAATCAAGGTTAGGAAAGCGACGGCAAGCAGGACGGGGACGATAAAGGCCAGGGGGTTGACTACATGGGTAATAAGTCCGGATATCATAGTTAGAGAGAGGAGTTGAACCTCTGTTTAAAGGGCTTAGGTCTTTCGCAATTTACCGGGCTCTGCCACACTAACATGCCATTCTCTTGGGCAGTTAGGGTATGCCCTTTTGCCTAGTTTAGATGTCTTCATTAGGTAAGGGGGAGGCGTGCCTGGGGCATGGGCCTCTTCTTTTCGGTCCTTTCGTACTAGAAAAGATCATAACATAGATAGAAACTGACCTGGATTACTCCGGTCTGAACTCAGATCACGTAGGACTTTAATCGTTGAACAAACGAACCCTTAATAGCGGCTACACCATTAGGATGTCCTGATCCAACATCGAGGTCGTAAACCCCCTTGTCGATATGGGCTCTAAAAGGGGATTGCGCTGTTATCCCTAGGGTAACTTGGTCCGCTGATCGGCGTTGCCGGATCACTTATGGTCAGAAATTCTGTTAATTAGAGCTGTAGCTCTTAGTTGTGGGAGGAGGGGGAAGAGAAAGAAAGGGGTGGTCCTCCCATTCCGCACGGGGGATGTTTGTTTCCCCATGGTCGCCCCAACCGAAGACATCAGGACAGGGGGCCACTAAGTTCAATCTTTTATCCAAGGGTCCTTAACATGGTCTGCCTTCGTGTCTAAAGCTCCATAGGGTCTTCTCGTCTTATGGGCTCATCCCCGCTTCTGCACGGGGAGATCAATTTCATTGACCTGAAAGAGGAGACAGTCAAGCCCTCGTGGTGCCATTCATACAGGTCTCCATTTAAAAGACAAGTGATTACGCTACCTTTGCACGGTCAAAATACCGCGGCCGTTGAACTAAAGTGTCACTGGGCAGGCGGGACCTCTTATTCTTGAGTTTTGCAAGAGGCGATGTTTTTGGTAAACAGGCGAGGCTTCATGTGTTTGCCGAGTTCCTTCTCTTTCTTTTAGTCTTTCCCTCTGAGCACACCAGTGTGGGGTCAACGGTTATGTTTTGGACGGTTTTCTAGGTCATTCTCACGTTTGTCCAATACCTTCTTTGATTTGGGCCGTTAATTTTCGGTGGAGGGTCCGTTCCGATTTACACGCGTGCAGGGAGAGGGGTTGTGGCCCCTCTTATTACTCATTTTAGCATGGTCGCCCCCATGTTTGCATGGGGCGGCCTGGTAGAATTAGGGGGCTAAGATTAGGTTATCAGGATATATGGCGAGGATTATGTTCGAGCTTTAACGCTTTCTGTAGGGATGGCTGCTTTTAGGCCCACCAAAACATTCTTGCCTTAAAAATTATGATCTTTACCCTCCTGGAAAAGTTGTATCTTGGTTCAAAGGGGCTGTCCCCCCTTTGACTAACTCTCGCGGTTTCTTTAGGAATCATTGGGAAATAGGATAAGCATGAAGAGAGAAGCCGGGAGGCTGAACTTTTATCCAGTTCCCAGGCAACCAGCTATAACTAGGTTCGATAGGTCTGTCACCCCTACTCGAAGCTCTTCCCACTCTTTTGCCACAGAGACGGGTTTGCCCTATTGTCAGGCTGTCTTGGAGTAGCTCACCTAGTTTCGGGGTGTCAAACTAAAGTTCTCTTTGCTTGATGCTGCTGGCTAAATCATGATGCAAAAGGTACGAGAGGTCATCTCTGCTTTATTTGGCTTTACTGGTCTGTTTCATCTCTTTTTCAGCGTTCCCTTGCGGTACTTTATCTATGGCGCCACTAGTTCCTTTTCTGTCGCCCATACTAAGGAGGAAAAATGGTTTGTTTTGTTTTATGTTGTGCTTTTGGGGTTATTTATGATTATTTGTTGTAGTTGAGAGGTGGGGCTAGCTAATAGGCGTCAGGGCGGCTCGATTTGCACGGGCGACTTCTCGGTGTAAGGGAGATGCTTTACTGTCTTAGCTACACCCTGATTTTACCAAGCGCACCTTCCGGTACGCTTACCATGTTACGACTTTCCTCTCCTTTGCAGTTGTAGGGCTTTAGTTAAAGGTGGTCCGGGGAGCTCGGGGAGGGTGACGGGCGGTGTGTGCGCGCTTTAGAGCCGGTTTCAGCAAGACACTCTGCTTCTTGCTTACTGCTAAATCCTCCTTCAGCTGTGTATTTCAACACATCATTCGTATTCGCTAGTTGCTAGCGAATGTAGCCCATTTCTTCCCCTCTCATGCACTACACCTCGACCTGACGTATTGGGCTGTGCCAATTGTGCTTACTATTCGTCCTTCACAGGGTAAGCTGACGACGGTGGTATATAGGCGGGAAAAACAAGGGAGGGTGAGGTTAAACGGGGGTTATCGGTTCTAGAACAGGCTCCTCTAGGTGGATGTTAAGCACCGCCAAGTCCTTTGGGTTTTAAACTGGTGTTCGTAATACCCAGGCGGATGTTTGGTGTAATAAACAATCAATGTTCAGGGCTAAGCATAGTGGGGTATCTAATCCCAGTTTGTTTCTTAGCTTTCGTGGGTTCAGGAGGGATAAAGCCACTTTCGTGGTTGGGCTTCATACCTTCGAAGACGTATAACAGTTCTGAAGGCGTTCGGCTTTAGTTTTGCGTTTTCCTTAACCACTCTTTACGCCGCTGTCTGTCAACTTAGGCCTCTCGTATAACCGCGGTGGCTGGCACGAGTTTTACCGGCCTTCTTAGCTTTAACTAAGTCAAGTTTTCACTTATAGCTTAATGTTTATCACTGCTGGATTCCCTTGAGGGTGTGGCTAAGCAAGGTGTCGTGGGCTGAGTTTGGGCGTGCCTGATACCAGCTCCTCATTCCCAAGCAGGGAATTGTGGGCATTCTCACGGGTGGGCGGATACTTGCATGTGTAAATCTAGCTAGAGCTGACAGTAAAGTCAGGACCAAACCTTTGTGCTTGCGGGTCTTTTTAAGGGCCATCTTAGGAGCTTCAGTCCTATACTTTATTTAAGCTACGGAAGC